TCTATCTATCTATCTATCTATCTATCTATCTATCTATCTATCTATCTATCTATCTATCTATCTATCTATCTATCTATCTATCTATCTATCTATCTATCTATCTATCTATCTATCTATCTATCTATCTATCTATCTATCTATCTATCTATCTATCTATCTATCTATCTATCTACGTTTATCTACGACAACTCGTACGTTTCTTTGTTCAGCATGTCAAGCACTGATGAGAAGGATAAAAAATTGGTTGTATATTTGTGTGTGATTACTGTTTTTTACATCTTTATGAAGGTGTGTCACAACGAATGTTGTAGCAAGAATTCTCCAGCTAGTAACGTGGTCATTGACGTGCCCCATCTGCACTGTGTTTTACGTGTGAAATGTACATATTCATGAAGAGTAATGTTTCAGGTTTATTCTTTCTGTTTGTCGTTCTAACAGGGGTGAAAGTGGTTTGACAATGAAAGTAAAGATGTCGTTGTTAAACTAAATAAAGCCATCAGTTATCAAGAGCTCGACCTTCGTGAGTTATTAGAGGGAGCCACAGCATGTGTGTGTGTGTGAGGTGTTTTAAACCCTTCCCACACCCTTACAATATTCTAAACAATGTTTCTAAACTCTAAATGCTCTAAAAGAGCACAGAATGTCATGATCTCGCTCTCTGCCACCTGCCTGCGCTCTCGGACATTCCCACTTCTCCTCTACAGAGCAGAGACCATGACATGCTGCAGGAGGGAACTTCTCCCTGTGCATGTGGGCTCACACTGGTGCTAAATAATTTTAAATAATTTATTTTAAATAAAAAATCCATGCCTATCTTGCAGCTCATTTTGTGTCATGTTCAATATTACTTTGAAAAAACGTGAAAGAGCGACTGCGACAGTCAAACCGCATAGTAGTGAGGGACTAATAAATATCATTTTTTTTTTATTATTATTATTTTTTTTTACTTTTTTTATAATAGGGGAGATGGAGCTCATCTCCAGTCACTGTGTGAAAGCTGGGGCAGACTCCAGACAGTTTTTCATGCTCAGGTTTGGGCACAAAGAGACTTGAGCTGCTTTGACTGTGTTTAATTTATTATACTATCATCATAAACCTTTCTGATGCATGCTCAATAATCCAGGTAGAAAAATCTAAAAAAGTTAAATCTGGTCCTCTGGACATTCAAAAAAACAAAACAAACTAAAAAAAAATTGTAGAAACGTTTCGTCTTTCATCCGAAAGACTTCCTCAGTCTGAGGAGCTGTATTCTGCTGTCTTATAAATAGCACCTTCTCAGAGTGGATCAACCAGTTTTGCTGCTGACAACCAAAACCAGCTGCTCACATAATCAAGAAGGACCATCAGCCTAACAATGGGTCGTTAGCACACTGATGGCTGTTTACTATTCACAGAGGGCTGAGTGATACTAGCAATAACAGCATTGTACGAGGGGGACAATTGAACACGTAGGCCTCCACCCCTGTTTATCCATCCATCCATTATCTTTACCCGTTTATTCCATTTTGGGTCACGGGGGTCGCTGGTGCCCATGTCCAGCAATCACTGTGCGAGGGGCGGGGTACACCCTGGACGGGTCGCAAGTCCATCACAGGGCCACAAAGAGACAAACGAGACAAACAACCATTCACTCTCTCACTCACACCTAGGGACAATTTAGAGTTACCAATCAGCCTAACATGCATGTTTTTGGTCTGTGGGAGGAAACCGGAGCACCCGGAGAAAACCCACGCATGCACGGAGAGAACATGCAAACTCCACCCAGAAAGGCCCCTGGACCGGGGTTTGAACCAAGGACCTTCTCGCTGAGAGGCAGCAGCTCTACCAGTTGCGCCACCGTGCTGCCTCACCCCTGTTTAATGATGGACAATTTATTTTCACAAAGATGGCCTCCTTTACTCCTCTCTCAAACCATTGTTCCTCTCTATCCAGGATGTGAACATCTTCATCTCTGAAAGAGTGACCTCTGGCCTGGAGATGAGTGTAAACCGCAGAGTCCTGAGGACCAGACTTAACTTTTTTAGATCAGAAAACTTTAACTTAAAAATCTTTAAAAACTGCTGTGTAAAACAACTTTTTTAATCAACAATGAAGCCAAAATGTACTCTGTTTACTTGCAAATGTGCAGCCGATTCCCAAGAGCCTCAAAAGTACCCTCTATCATGCTTTTTTCTCAAACATGAGTCAGATCTGATCAGAACCCTCTTTCACATCTGATTTCAAATCCAATGAATACATCCATCCATCCATTATCTTTTACCCGCTTCTTCCATTTTGGGTCACGGGGGTCGCCAGTGCCCATGTCCAGCAATCACAGTGCGAGGGGCGGGGTACACCCTGGATGGGCCGCAAGCCCATCACAGGGACACATAGAGACAAACGAGACAAACAACCATTCACTCTCTCACTCACACCTAGTGACAATTTAGAGTTACCAATCAGTCTAACATGTATGTTTTTTGTCTGTGGGAGGAAACCGGAGTACCCAGAGAAAACCCACGCATGTACAAAGAGAACATGCAAACTCCACCCAGAAAGGTCCCCGGACCAGGATTTGAACCAGGGACCTGCTCGCTGAGAGGCAGCAGCTCTACCAGTTGCGCCACCGTGCTGCCCAAAATGTGTTCACTAAATAAAATTTATAAACCATTTAAACAAACATGGAACAAACTATATTGCTAAAATTTAATTCTGTCACATTGAATTATTTTTTTTGATACACAGCATTTACTTGGATACATTTAGTGTGTTGTACATACACTGATCCTTGCTTCAAACGATGATTACTTACAGTGTTCCCTGTTGTCAGAGGCGTTAGTGGAAGGATGCCCGTTGTGGGAAAGATCTGTGCCAGATCTCTTGTGGGAACCCCTGCTCAGGGTGGTCCTGCCTGATGATGTCGTGCCACTCCAGGAAGCCATATGTTGTCTTTCTAGTGTTGATACAGTTACCATGCACTCCTTAGAGGGATCTGAAGCTGCAGCTGCCCACGAGCTGTGCACGTGGGAACCCATGCCATGTAGAGACTTTGTGGTCGGTGTTTGGGCTGTCGAGTGGATGGTGGATGAGAATATTTGTAAAATGATACAAAATTGGACATTGTGACATAAAGTTGGCCCTTCTAACCGGAGGAGTAATGTTTAATAAATCATATCAGAGAGTTCAAACTTACAGTCTGTGCTGGAGTCTCTTTGTCTGGGAAGAGTTCCAACCATGTCCGTCTGAGGACTGTGGGCAGAGAGTGGTGCCCTCTTGTGTCTAAGGCTATGTGTCCCATGTGCAGCATGGTCCGCTGTGCCAAAGCTGTCTGAGTGACTGTAGGGTGAGGCTTTGCCTGAAAAGAGAAGCAATACACCAATATTAATGATTAATTAGCTCACATATGGCAAAGGTCATGAGTAAATTTCTTGATCCTTACAAAAGTTGGCTAAAGTGGTTTTTATTTGAGTACAAATCTACAACCTTTTCAACAGATATTGAGGATTTAATTAATGTAATACACACAAAAAAATAATAAATTGGGCTAAGGAAGATAACAAAACAGCCTTATATTGGTTAGAAAAGAAATATAAATAATATTAAAAAAAAAAAAACTTTCCACTGAACTATTCATTTCAGTCTATCTCAACGTTCATCTAGAGTTTTCACTCTAAATGTACATCAAATATGAAATGACAGCATATTTGCATTGCTAATGTTTGTAAATATTTATAGTCACTGTGGCTGGTGTTTTGCCCTGTCATAGCTTATTAAAAGTACTAAAAGAAATGCATACTGTTAACGAACCCGTCAAATGTATCCTATCAAATCATGGAGTCTAAAAATGGTACAGTTCTGTCCCTGTGGAAGAAACCTTCAACATTTCCAGTTCTAAAGCATATCTGTTAGACAGAAACCTATTTATAAATGCACCCAATCTTAAAATATGATGCTATGTCTTCTACGGTTATCAAAGAATGACTCCATCTGTCTTTTATTATAATGTTTTTTTTTCTCAAAATAAATGCACACTAGATATTTAAAATGAGTATGTTATCAAAAAGATATATTTAATATTTACGAGTTCATGAAACCATGACCAAGTAGACTTTCTGATCAGAATTTAACACTATTTATACAACATGGTATTGGGGTCACTCGGAACATAACCCACACGATAAACGAGGGACTACAGTATGAGTTTACAAGTTTCCTTTCTTGGACTTGACTTTGTTGTTGAAATGCTTTCTCATTGTTAAATTTATTCTAAGTGACTGACATTTTTTTTTTTTTACTATGTTAATGTTTGAATGTTTTTTTTTTGTTTTTTTTCCCCAATGTGCTGCAATGATTTAAAAAAAAAAAGTGTTTTTTTCTATTGGTCTAAAACCATTTGGCAAACTGAACACCTATAAAGGACAATTCTACAAATTGTACAAATGTTTAAAAAATTGATACTGATTCTAAATACACCTTGTTCGACAATGAACCTCTAATATAGACCATTTTTTCTTGAAGAAAGGAGTTATTGTAGGTTTAAATGGAAATGTATTTGGAAGACAAACCTGAGCCGTCAAAGTTATCCATGCTGTGACCAGGAGTGTAATCAAAGCTGCACAAGTTCTTTGACACCACAGCATATTTTTCATCTTCCTTTTCCTCCTCATCTTCTTCTTCAGAAAGAAGATTGGCCCCCAAATCAGAGCCCAGCGTACTAGACATGAAATCCAATGGGGAGTTGGACACATTGGAATTGCTCTTCATATGCCTAATTGAATGTGGACAAACAGTATGTATTAATAAACTGTGTAAAAATAATCACACAGCAATAAAGGTCAAATAATGAGCAGTGAAATTCTTGTAAAACAAACGGAGTACAAAATCAGTGGATATTCAAACGCCCAAACATGCCATGTGCAAAGACTGAATGCCTGCAGTGATTTTAGCTGATTACTTTCGCAGCGCTGGTGTGTGTTGAAGTAACACAATGGAGTTGTAATTGGACTGGATAAAGGATATCTGGATGGGCAGGGCTGTCAGCAACATGCCTGTTATCTCCTGCACAGTTGTCCTCCATGATGGCTCACGTCCCACCGTAAAGAAGATGCATGCGTAATTACCAACTCTATTTACTGATGTCAGAAGAGTGTAAGGCTAAACCCAGTCATTACCCTCCAACATGTGCCTGCCCAAACTTATCCAGTTCTCAAAGGTGGAATAAAGAGATGGGTTTTATCTCCTGCAAGTTGTGTGTATTGCAGGTTTGGGCTGCAAATACCAACATTATACTTATGCTCAAATACTGGTCACTGATATCAAACTCCAAACTATCAGAATAATAGAATGATATAAATAGCAAGTACCATTTCTGAGCAACTGTGCAAACCAAAAAAATCTCAAGGAAACTGCAAAGCCTTATAAAAGTATTTATTTTGGTATTCATCAAAGATAAAAAAAAGACTTTAGCAGTTGCAAAATAGTTATTAAAGATCCTTACCATGCCTGTTTAGCTACTTCATATTGGTAAGCTCTGGTGAGTTCATCCAAGTGGGCCTGCAAAATAGACTGCATCTCTTCATGGTGGGCAGAGCTGAGGGTGGAGGATGATGGCTTGCTGAAGGAAGCTGCAGCTGGAGAGGAAGATCTGCCCCTCAGGGGTGGGGTGGGACCTCTTTCCTCCTCTGCCTCACTGTCTAAATTCTGGTGGTGGTAGGTCTGAATGGACATCGACGGGGCCCAACTGTTGTCGCATCAGGTGGAAAAGAAACGACATGTAGATAAAGTAAATGCGTGTAGCTTTAACAACACAAATCGTATTCTGAACATTTATTGAAAATGTCTTCATCTATTGCCAAGAGACAAAAGGTAGTAAATAATATGTTTTTTTGTTTGTTTGTAGTACTGTATTAGCAAAATATCTCATGAAGCACTCTCAGAATGTACTGTAGTTGTTAAACATACATATTTAACTGATTACCTTTTGGAGTCAGTCCAGTTCAAGTAGCTGCCTTAACTAATTAGCAACTAATGGCTTTAACTCTGTTTTACATATAGTGAACTAAAACAATCTATGCGTTATGTAATGTCTTGGCAAGCCTTTCTGTAACATTTTGCATAATATTATTTTTAAGATTTGACCAGTATCGGCTACAATGCTATTAAAACTCTGGCATAACAAGCGGTGGTTAATATACCTTTAAGGAGAGCTAACTGTTCTTTATTATGCACTTCTTTCTTCAAGTAGCCTATTCAGAATAACCTCTTGTTGTTAATCTGTTTTCCAAAGTTCAGATGGCAGCCTCACATAAAATTTTGGCCTCAAAGTTTGCATGTTTTTTTTTTTTTTTTTCTGGTGTCCATTTTGGTGCACTTGTGTTTTCCAGGACAAAGACTGATGAGACCCTAGTGTATCTTACCTTCCTTTATGGTTTTCCTGGGGGTAACGATCAAGGTCAACCTCAGTTCCTGGGAGAGGGTTCATGGGTGGTGGAGGCAGGGGTATGCTAGCCCAGCATGCTCCGTTTGATTTAGAGCTTTTTGTTCCTCCCTTGATCTTCTTTTTCTTTGCAACTTTTGCACCTAGGTGTGGATAAAGACATGCAGCTGTTCAAAATGCTAAGAAATCCCTTTATAGTCTTCTCACAAATATGGTTCTACACTGAATTTCAGACACATACACATAGCTAAGCTTAGATATCTTTTATCTTTTTGTGCTACAATCATTTTCAAACCTGTCTGCCACACAAAGTTCATCATTTCCTTTTTCGTGTGTGCTGACAGCACACTAAAACATTTTCTAAATGTTGACATTTCTTAAAGAGGTATTAAAACCTGCTGCAAACCACTTTAAGTTCCTTCCATACAACTTTCCCATCTCTTATCTTTGGTCACGCTGACATTTAGTTGAGCATGTAGCCTATTGTGCACAGCTACAAAAGTGTGGACCGACATGCCTCCACGGCTTCACAAAATGTATATATGCTAAATAAATAACCTTGAACACTGAGGGATTTTTCTGCCATCGCTAATCAAATTAAGCCAAAGGAATGCGTCATGATTGCATGACATTTCTGGGCTAGATAAGCTCGCAGGGTAGAACTGTGATGAAGATAGAAGAGTAATTAAGAACATAGTCCCAAGGGTCCATTTTTGTGAATATGTAAATAAATCCATTTTTCATGTTTAATTTTTCCCCAAGGTTTAGCTGGCAGTTACTACTCTAAAAGAAGAAGAAAACATAAATAATGCCAGTGACTTAAAAACATATCAGCCATGCACACAGAATACACACTGCTCATACCGCCACCAGGACGTCTATCAGTTAGGGAGTAGCCCATGTTTGCCATTTCCTGCTGGGCTTGTAAAGAAGCCTTCCAGCGTGGATCTGGTCTGTCCACAGCCAGCTCATGAAAACTGTTGGACTGGAGTATCTGAGTGGTGGCGTAAGGGGTGGGCTGGCTGCCTCGCGCTGGGCTGCTGTAGCCTCCTGTCCCCATGAAGTCAATACTGCTGTAGATGGCACCATCAGACAGCATGGTGCCAGTTTTCTCCACCGCTGCAGACGGTAAAACATCTGAGAAAGTACGACAGAGACAAAGTGAGGAGATGAATAGTCGACGAAACACGGAGGAATAAGTTGACATGAATTTAACAATCTTTAAGGTCATTAATGTTCCCTGCTGCTCTGGCACTCTGCATTAGTTTAACTACAGGTCTAAAACAGAGTTGATATAAATGGAAGTGATTATCAACAACCATAATTAGCATGCAACACTCAGCGGGGGCCTGTTGGAGTCTTCTCAAGAGGGGATATTCAAGCAGCGCTAACCTTCGGCTCTACTGCCTTCCACACAAAAAGCCCAGAAGCTTCAAAGACAGTATAAAAAAAAACATAAATTAAATTCATGAAACCTGGATCGTCAGTTTCACACAACCTTGGAAGAATGCACAATGGCATGGAAGGATGGACCAAAATAAATCCAAACACCACATACTTAAAGCTAAATATCAAACGTGTCAAATCAAATTAGTGAACTGTAACCCTCAGAGGCTCTTTTAATTTGGGCGCCTGTGCTTGGCCTTGAGTGTGTGTGCTTATGTGACGTGCGCTGTCATGCCGCTTCTCAAAGGATGAGCATCAAAAGTGTCCAACAAGGCATTGCTAAATCTGTGTTTCTCCCCAACACATTATGACTATTTCTTACCTCCTCGGCCAAAGTTGTTGTCGTTCTTTGGGCTCCCTAAGCCTCCATTAGCTGGGAGGCTCGTGGAAGGCCAGGAGTCAGCCAACCACGGTAGGCCTGGATCTCCCGATTTCAACAGACCCGGACGGCTGTGAGAAGTTAAACAAAGGGATTATTGTGGTGGGGGGCAGAAAAGTGGTGACATTGTTAAATACTCAGCCTCCCCTGTAACCATATTGCTCCTTTTCCTCCTGCTGCCTCAACAACAAATTGATGTGAAAACTCATTCAGCATATTCTAGCCCGTGGAGCCGCCCAGCACAGAGGCAACAATAAAACAACAAAGAGACATAAAATGGCAAGTCTATAAATCAGAACCACACAACTCCACGCCCCCCGCCACCACCCACCCACCATCCACCACTAACTCTCCCCTGAGAAACAAGGCAGGTTTAAACACACACTAAATCCACTTTAGAGCCTTGGCACAACAGAAATTTACATTTTAAATTGAGAATCATGGACAGCCTCTGGCAGATCAGCTACACTGGAGTACTGTCTCCATGGCAACAGAGCCAGCAAAAGCCCATTAGGTGGTTTAGGAAAGCTAGTCTGTCATTTTTTTTCCCTTCTATGTGAAATACAACAGTCATGAATGTGCGCTTTGACTTGAAGGTTGGAAAGTTGTAGGCAGCATTTCAACGAGAGGAAAAAGGCAATTAACAACCTTTTCAGATCATGGGCTGTAAAAACAGAGATGTGCTTCTGAAACAGGTGATGCAAAACTGGATAGACATATTAGCATATACATGCAGTTCATGTGCAGGTGTGTATGGACACCTGCACATCCAAGGAATTGCATGTTCAGTGTGAAACTGCGCTGCATAATATTGCACTGAGCTTCATTTGCCACTGAAACAGAAATTACTCGGGAGAAATTATTGTCCCGGGAGTTTTGGCAGCACTTAGTTCTGTATAACAAGGTGCTAGGGTCACTCAAACAATAAATAAATAAATAAAATAAATAGCTTGTTATAGCTTGTGTCCCAGTTTTAAAATCTAAATTATTATGTTGGAAAAAAAACTATGTGAATATTAGAGTTGACTTTATTAAAGTTCAAATACTACAACAAAATTAAAAAGCTTAATGTAGAAAAAAGATGAGCAAAGGTGAAATAATGAGAATAAATGTGTTACTTTAGATTAAAATGGAAATTTAAAAACTAAACCATCTTTTTTTGGGGGGGGGGGTGCGATAACAATATAGTCTCGATCTATCTATCTATCTATTAATAATAATTATTATTAATAATTGTATAATTTGCACAACACCACAGTATTTATGTGTTTTATTGATGCTTCTAAAGCATTTGATCGTGTGAATCACCAAAAACTGTTCTGCAAGTTAGAAAGCAGATGTGTACCCAAATATCTCATTAGAATTCTTGTATATTGGTATGGTCATCAATCGATGTATGTTAAATGGGGTAACACCTTGTCAGATTCATTTAATGTTGGTAATGGAGTAAGGCAGGGAAGTATACTGTCCCCTTACCTCTTTAACATCTACATGGATGAACTATCAAAGCGTCTGACTTGTTGTAAAACAGGCTGTGTAGTTGGTGACCGCATTATCAATCACATCATGTATGCAGATGATTTGGTAATCCTATGCCCATATAGTGCTGGCCTTCAACAACTACTAAGGATCTGTTCCCAATATGGCTATGACTTCGACATCAAATATAATGCTAAGAAAAGCAATGTTATGATTGTTAGAAGCAGGGCAGATAAGCATTTGATAACCCCTGATTTCTTTTTATCTGGCAATGTCCTCAATGCATGTAATGAAATTAAATATTTGGGACACTACATAACTGATGACCTGTCTGATGACCGTGACATCTGTAGGCAGTATCGTATGATGTATGCACAAGCTAATACTCTTATCAGAAAGTTTGGTATGTGTTCATCTTCTGTGAAGATAGCTCTTTTTAAAGCTTTTTGTACTTCATTTTACACGGCCCATCTTTGGCAAAGATACAACAAAAGTAGCCTGCATAAACTCAATGTAGCATACAATGATGGCATGAGGCTACTATTCAAAGTGCCTAGATGGAGCAGTGCTAGCCATATGTTTGTACACAATGCTGTTCCTACCTGTGCAGCTGTGCTCAGGAATCTTATGTATAAATGCATGTGTAGATTATCTGTGTCATGCAATAATATAATTGCAATTTTAGTAAATCCTGTTTTTAGTACAGTGAGACTCTACTCAAAATTGTGGAATCACTGGCGTCATCATTTATTTGTGACTCGGTGAATATGTCATGTTTTTATTTTATATCTTTAACCTTTATTTATTTATTTTTATTTTTATTTATTTTTTTAACTATGGACCTTTCTGTGTCTGGAATAAAGATTGATTGATTAATAATAATAATAACAATTTGTGAAAATATCTAAAAGAGACTTACATTTTGTGGAAAATTCATATATGAGAATAGGTTTTATCAATTAAGGAATTGTATGTGACTTTGTGCATCCATAATCCTAGGCTACAATAATAATGATATAAATGGCATAAAATTATGGTTCAGGAGCACAACAGGACTCTTTATTCTTGACTTTTTTTTTCTCAAAACTGGCAAACAACAATCACAAAAACAAATAAATAAATAAATACTTGCCTCTTTGGGTTTTCTACTGAGTAACTCTAACACACCATCTTGTTTCGTTTTGGCAAAAATTGTTTCTATGTTTTATTATAATAAAAATATAAGGGACATGACTAATATATTTTAACAGATCCAAATAAAACTTATTTTGGTACACTTTAAGCAAGAAAAAAACATTTTGGGCCATTGTGAAAAGTCTCATGGTCCAACACTTTGCTCTTGTCTCCCTATGTTCTGGTCTGTGTGACTCAAGGCTGTGTGCTCTCTGTGCACATTCATCACCTCTCTCCTTCTCCTGCAACCTCTCACTCCACGACAACCTCAGATGAACTGAGAGAGAGGGGGACGGTGAACAAAACAGCTGCCCACCTGCATTAATTGGTAGCGTGTACTTGAAAGGAGTGATTAATGATTTCATCAGGTGAACACTGGCGCAAATCATACACCAATACAGTCTGAATACGCAGGGAAAACCACTATGCAAATCCCATTCACTAAAAGAGAACTTTTCATTTAAGACTTTACAATGAGCTGGTGGTGTCGGAGTACAGTGCACGGTGTGGTGCTGAAATGTCACCAGAAGCTTTGGTAGAAGGACTGCTGGGTTTTATAGGTGAAATTCTCACCTTCCATTTCTGATCAGGCCTCTATCCCTTTGGAATGTAACTTGTGGAGAAAAGAAGGACAGAAATAATTAAACCACAATGTATAATAATAAACAGCACACCAACAAAAAGAATAGCATGTGATATGAAAATGTTTACCTGCCCGAGTGAAGGTGAATGACTGGACTGCGTAAAAAAAAAAAAAAAAAAAAAAGCAAAAATGAGAGGTCATTAAACAAAGAAAGAAGTTAAAAAGCTCACGTTTCTTCTACTTTGTACATTTTTGCCACTTTTTTTATGTATAAAAAATGTGAAGTTACAAAATAAGAACTGAGTGTGCTCATTTTACTTTCTTTGATTATTCTGTGAATGCTTATGAAGCGTCCACACTATTGTGATCCATTTTTCTTCTATACGTTTGTTTGCGCATTTCTCGTCCCACAGCTTTCAAACTATTTCAACATATATCAAATGTTCAGCAGTTTCAGGACAATCCTCTATGACTTTTGGTATTGGTACAACTTTAGCTTTTTGAAATATTTTGCCTTTTCTATCATTTTTTTCTCATAGAAAATGAACTGAGCTCATTTTACATCCTTCACATCTTTAGATCTTTTTACACCCTTTTACTTCTCCATTCAAATTTAGTTCTGGTTTAACTTCTTTCAGCTTCCTTAAGCAAACGGAAACATTTTTCAGCTAATTTCAGCTGCTTTTTCCAGCTGTTTTGTGCTCCTTTCAGATTATTTCTGCTAACTAAAACATTTCTGTGCCTCTTCTAACTTCTTTTTGCTAATTTCAGCTTGCTATGCTCTTTTATCTTTTTTTCTGCGTTTCACCTTTTTCTACTGTTTTTATGCTAATTTACACATTTTCAGCTAATTCCACATTTGCTTGCAGCCATTTAAACGTTGTTCAGCCAAATTCAGCAAAATGTGCTCTCTCCACTTTTTTCTGGTAATTTCAGATTATTTATGCTTCTTTTAAACCACTTTTCAGCACTTTTTTTGGTTGCCATTTTCAGCCTTTTTCAGATAATTTCCACTTTTCTGTGCTCATTTCTGCTTCTTTCAACCTAAATGGACAAACATGTTGTTTCTGCTTTCTTCTGCTAATTTTAGCTTGTTCTACCCTTTCAGCTACCCTTTTATATAATTTTAGATTTTTCAGATAAATCCAAGGTTTTGTGCAAATTTTTGCTACTTTCAGCCTAATTAACATCTTTCTGCTATGTCCAGCTTGTTATACTCCTTTCAGCTCATTTCTGTTACATTCATTTATTTCAGCTACTAGTTAGCTGTTTTATGCTAATTTTAGCTGTTACAGCTAATTCCACATATTTTTTGCTCATTTTACCACATTTCACTTCCTTCTGGTAGTTTCAGCTTCTTTCTGCCTTTTCAATTACTTTTCAGCTATGTTTTTTTTTTTGCTAATTTCAGCTTTTTTTTGTAATTTCCTATTTTTTGTTCTCATTTCTTCTTATTTAAACCTAATTCAGCAAATATGTTCTTTCTGCTTTCTTCTGCAAACTTAGGCTTGTTCTTCCATTTCAACTACATTTCAGCATATGTTTTTGGCATTTTTCAGCTGTTTTTCAGCAAGTTCTTCAGCAATGAGCATTCACACTGAATTTTCGCAGGAACTGCAATTTCTCTAGTTTATTTCTGTTGTTACTGCCAATGAAATTTTATTCCAAGTTAGATTAATGATTTGTCTGACCAGTACATCCCAGCCCTGCCTGGGTTACACTGGTTGTCTTAATGGATACACAGAGAATAATATTAAGTTTATTTAATTACTTTTACCACAATATAGAATGTATTTCTCGTTAATCAAAACAAACAAGAGATTTATTGTAAAACAGAACTAAAATAGTCTACCATTTGATAAATGTATCATCTTAAACATCCATCCATCCATCCATCCATTTTCTTTACCCGTTTATTCCATTTTGGGTCACGGGGGTCGCTGGTGCCCATGTCCAGCAATCACTGTGCGAGGGGCGGGGTACACCCTGGACGGGTCGCAAGTCCATCACAGGGCCACATAGAGACAAACGAGACAAACAACCATTCACTCTCTCACTCACACCTAGGGACAATTTAGAGTTACCAATCAGCCTAACATGCATGTTTTTGGTCTGTGGGAGGAAACCGGAGTACCCGGAGAAAACCCACGCATGCACGGAGAGAACATGCAAACTCCACCCAGAAAGGCCCCTGGACCGGGGTTTGAACCAGGGACCTGCTCGCTGAGAGGCAGCAGCTCTACCAGTTGCGCCACCGTGCTGCTCATCTTAAACAACTAAGTTAAAAAAAATAAATAAAAAAAATAACGAAAACGATAAAAACACAAATAAACTATTCAAATGTAAACATGATGCTTTGAGTAAAGATCACAGTTCACTATTTTATTTGGAGACATTGGATCGTAAAATTTAATAAATAAGGAAACTGTGCTCGCTCCCTAAACCACCAGAATGAAACCTGCAGCCTTTCTATAATAAATGCATAGAGCTTCAGGCTTGACTCGCGGCATGTTAAGAGAATTTTCTAAACCAAAACCCTAGATGAAGCTCATATTAATAGACAAACATCACCAGCCAGGCTCTGATAATAGAAGGGCATGTTAAATTACTTATCTCGTCTGAATGTATTAGTGTGTTGAGGTGTGGTGCTGATGGAACTCAGCACAGCTGATGCACATCACTGCACAGTGAATTAAAGTAAATAGAGCCTATTTCCATCTGTGCTGAATATATTTTCCTTTGTTCTGCATTTTAGCCACCTCATATGGAGTCACATCTGTGACGACATCAGCTTCTGCTGGGGGCAAGAGACCCACTGTGCTGTGAGATGTTCTGCTGATTTAGAACTATATAGATTGATGTGTTTTCATTTACCTGCGTAGTTGCTGAGTCCTTTTCTTTTTTTCCTTCTCCAGTACAGCCAAGCACTGAAGCCCATGAGGACAATCCAGCAGGCCCCTCCCAAACCAGCAATGAACGCTGGCTGCTTCACCACGTCTGAGATGCTGTTGTTGCCCTCTGATCCGGTCATTACATCTTTCAGTTCTCCTCCTGAAGGCACCACAGATGAACCAGCATACGCACAGAGAAGACAAACGTGTCTAAATGTCAGTTTATGCCTGTGAGGTTAAAAAATATGCAAACTAAAAAAAAAGCAGCCTTAAAAAAAGGGTTTGTGAGAAAGTACTGGTATGTGCATTTAAGAAATAGCGTGGGCATTTTGAACTGAGGTTCTATACTCGGGTTATGAATATATTTATATCTTACCAGCTCAGAGCATTTTCAGATTGAACAAAATACACAAACAACAAAAACATAGTTTTCCTTTGGCAAGACTGTTGAAACTAACCTGAGCAGAGCCAAGACCAAAGTCACCAGTATCCAAAATTTTAAATAATTTCACGAAAATGCAAATTTTTTTAGCATCATTGTCAGTTTTGCATTACACAGTCATTAACACATAATTCTGTGGGTATCCGTGAGTGCAAATATTAGCAGAAACGGCTAGCACTTCCTGTGCAGCAGGGGTATTTCCTGCTAAACTATTTCTGCCAAACAGTTAAATCTAAGATTGAGGTGGTGTAAATGTTTTATTCATTACTTTTCCACACTCCGCAATAAAAGTTTGAAGATTGGAGGTGTCTGAAACAGCAAAATACACTTTGTAAGATGGTTTAATGAGAATAAAATGATGAGCTAACAATAGGTAGTCAGAGCAGGGCCTTCTCCACTTTGGATTGTTCTAGTTTTAAAATTTTATACTGGGCTATGTAAATGCATTTTGTAAACCTTTACTCCATCATCGCTGTTGCATTATACAGTCTGGTTAAAAAACAAAAAAAACAAAAAAAAAGCTATGAAGTTCCAGGAGGATGTGCATGTGTGTGTACTGCTAGCTGCTGCTGCTACTACCATTTGTGCTTGCAAATAACTATAAGGTATTATGAAATGAACCACTTTGTAACTTTAAATTTTGGATTTCTTTGAAAGTGGCATTGGCTTTTGTCTGAGTTGTTGTTAGACTAAACTTTAGCTTGCCAGTCCCATCAAGCGTAAACTCTACTCACTGAACTAGTGTTGTTCAAAAAGCTACCTATAAAAGATAAAATATAATTTTGCCTAAATCATTTTCAGCATACCAAAAACAGTATTAACTATTAATATATGTTTCTAGAAAAAGGTTTATTAAATTTCATATAAAACATGTCTTCAGTGTAAACACAACAATGAAAAAAATTAAATTTAAATCCAACATAATTCCACGGGGAAAATATATATAAAAAAGCAAAACTTCTATCAGCTTTTTCCTCTTCAGGGTCTCCACAGTGAGTCATCATCCTCCATCTCACTCTGTCCTCTGCATCCTCTGTCCTCACTCCAACTACCTCCATGTCCTCTCTAATTGCATCTATATATCTCCTCTTTGTCGTTTTCCTGGCAGCTGCATTTCTAACATCCTTCTACCAATATACCCACTGTCCCTCCTCTGGACATGTGCAAACCATCTCAGTCAGGCTTCTCTAACTTTATCTCCCAGTTGTTCAACATGTGCTTTACCTCTGATGAGCTCATTCTTAATTTTATCCATCCTTATCACTCCTAAGGAGAACCTCAACATCTTCATTTTTGTCACTTCCAGTTCTTTCTCCTGTCTTTTTGTCCATGTCTCTGTCTCCAGACCATACAACACAGCTGGTCTCACCACTGTCTTGTAAACTTTTCCGTTGACCTTTGCTGACACCCTTTTGTCGCAAATTACTCTTGAAACTTTTCTCCATCCACTCCATCCTGCCTGGACTCTTTATTTAATTTATTTTTCACACTCCCTATTTTCCTGAACAGTTGACACCAAGTACTTGAAGTCCTGCACCTGACTAAAGCATATACATCAAGATCAAAAGGTTATTGTACCAGTACTTTAAACATCCTTATGAGGACAATGAAAGAAGAAAATAAAAAAAGAGGAGAGAAAATATATAAAATAAATAAATAGCATCAGTGCATCCAATATAGACTTAATCAATTCAGCAGCGCACTTATCAACTTGAGCTGCAAGACATGAGATTGACAGAGCAGCTCCGACAGAGTTTGATTTTCTGTTGCGGCCACTGCACTGTGAAATTAGATTCACAGTTTCCAGCAGGAACAGCCCCACCCCCAAACCCATTCTCTGTCAACCCAACCCCCTACCCCCATCATTACCGCTTCAGTCCATAGGCCTGCTTCCCATTTCTTCAGTGTGTTAAGGGTGTTATTATATACCAGTCAAAATTCACAGATGAAGAGCATCTGGCTTGGGCTGCCATATTGATTCTGTGCTCATACAGTCAGGGCATCCTTTAGCTGTTTCATAAGATGTGATGAGGTGATAAGCCCCAACAAAAACATTGCCTTCTATGTTAGCACCAGCTGCCCACATACTGAAAGGGATTATTGATATAGCTAACAGTTCTTGGCACAGTGATCCCAGACACTACACTTAATGAATCACTATTGATTTCTCTGCAGACGTCTGCGTTGTAAAGCGCAATCTTCTTTCTTCTGGGGCGATAAATTGCTAAATCATTTTTCCACACTCCTGATCTGCTATATAGACCCAGGTACCCCATTATGAGGTCATTTTATTTGACCCTCCCCAGGTTTGGAAGTGTGAGTGGATTACCCAGAATGATGAGTTGGGGTTTACTCTTCACCCCTACTCCAGCGCTGGTACTGGCAGCCACCTCCACGCGGTACTGCACTCTGGTGTGTAGACCCCCGACTACAACTGAACGGATGGTTGCATCTACAGACTTGTTCACATGAAAGCGAGTGTCGTTGGCCAGACACCAGATCTGACAATGGAAGACACAGCAGACAGACTTCAGAAGGATGCTGCATTATACATGACCAAAAATAAATAAATAAATAAACAAACCAATTTGCAATCTTTGGGGGGAAGCTGAGCCTACCTTGTATTCCTGGATGATGCCATTCTGTTGGTCAGAGAGAGGGGGGTCCCATGAAACACTGATGGATGTGCTGTTATGACTTCCCACTGTCAACACTGTCACTTGTTGTGGAGGTGCACTGGGTGCTAATAGGTCAAGGGTGGATAGCAAAATAAAAAAAAATAAAAATACACAGATAAAATAAGTACTTTCTATAAAAGAAAAGGTATCTCTTTTTTGAAATATATATCTTGTCAATTCAGGATTTGTCTCGCTCACTACTTCAATTCATTTTCACATAGCAAGCACTAAAACAAGGTACTTTCAAACCACCCCAGCAGATGGAATTTTAAACACTTCATTTTGATGAGTTCAAGACTCCAATATCTTAATAGCATCCTAAGTTATGCAGGACAAGCTTTATGGGGTCCAAATTGTACATTTCTAATTACCAACAAGACAACCCTTCCAAGCAGATCAGCAAGTTTAGATATGCGTGTAAGTTGCTGTGCCAAGAAAAAAAAGTAGATGGTTTGTCGCCTCCAATATTGAGTCAATTGGTGCCAAAAATCCAACTTTCTACCTTGATAGTCAACAAACAGATCAGACTTAAAGAGACGAGAGGCAGAACAGGGCTTAACATCAGCTCTATGCAGCTAAATAAATCATTTCCTCCACACAATGTAGCTTTGTATAAATCCCATTAAAGCTAACATTATGTTCTGTCTGAGCGGATGAAAGAACTACTCCGACCCTAATTAACAGGCCGTAAAATAATAAAGCTTACTGCAGTATATTCACATAACATGAGAGGCAGAAAATTTCAAAGCTGTGCAGAAAGGCCAAAACAGGTGCAGCATTTATCTTGGCCTAGACTGCTGCTGTGAAGAAACAGATGGACTTGGTTCTGTAAATGGCAAACATAAAACACAAACATGGGTAGAGTGTCTCACGAAGGCAAGCCACGTAGCTAGTTAATGTTTTATCAGGTAGGATGTAATGAGGCAAGGATACATGGAGAGGCTAGCATCTGGCTCAGTTTACACACGAGTAAAAGAGCATATTTTCTTTTGTTAGATGGATGACAAAAATAATTTATGAATGATTTAACTTGTGTCTAAAAATGAGGCTCTAAACATATTTCCGATGCCTTCCAAATAAAGACAGTCTGGCAATACAAAGGAGTTAAATTAGATATATGGGAAGTCATCTTTTTATTACAAATCACACATCTTCTCAACCCATTGTGTGCATATCTACATTCAGCTACTGTATTTTAGACAACACTGACTTTCTGAGACAACTAATGTCAGACAGGCTTAGACAAATCTACTGTCTTGTACACTAGGACACTTCTATAGTACGTAAAGCAAGATCAAATATTTTATGCGGGGGGAGGGGGGGGGGGGCTTGTATATAACTCCTATGGATTACAGATGGACGACAAATTAAAGGAAATTTACTAAATCACAGGGAAGAAAATTAATGGCCCTTAATATGATAAAAGTTACATTATATTTAGTTTATTTACAGTTCTCATAGACAAAATACAGCTTGGGGTCCTTCTCAAGTACTCCCCCCTCCCCAATCACACACACACACACATATATATATATATTCATATATATATATATATATATATATATTAGGGATGGGGCCGATCCAGTATCGGTATTGGGCTCAGATACCAGCATAATTAACGTTTTGGATTTTCCGATCCAACCTGCCGATATTTCCGATCCCTGATGCATGTCTGTGGTTGCGCTGCACGTTGGCTTCAATCTATGAAATGGATTTCCTGAATGGAGGCGTGTCTCATGAACCCAGAGTAATAAGACCCGCCTCACATTCAGGAAATCCAGTTCATAGTTTGCAGCCAGCTACAACATGAGGACTGAGTTAGCAGCACTGTGGCTAACAGCTAACAAACTTTTCATCGAAACATGTCCGCCGTGTGGAAGTATTTTACACTAGAAACACCACAAAACAAGACAGCAACGTGCAATGTCTGCAGAGCCATAGCACCACATTAAACCACGGTAAAGTTAGTTTTACAATGGACATTCAAGCTCCGGTGCTTCAACGGTCTGATATTTTCGTTCAGTCCGGAGAAGGCAGTCTGATTTTGGTCAGCCACGCTCAGTCTGTCCGTGTCGGAGGAGAAGTAGACTGAGCGTGGCTGACCGAAATCAATCTGCCTTCACTGGACTGAACGAAAATAACAGGCAGCTGAAGCCCCAGAGCTCGAATGTTTACCGAGAAGTTGCTAAACTTCATCATAATGAATGACCAACCACTACCAGTTGTAGAAAACGAAGGATTTCACAGATGTTTAAAGCCATTTAACATTTAATTTCATTTAATTCATTATTCATTCATTTAAAAGAAACAAAACAAATTCATCAAAAAGTAAACATTGAATGAAAAGAGTGCAGAAAGAAGACAAATCTTATATCTGCCCCTTGTTTAAAAGAAATATAAAGTAACTTTAAACAATCACTTAAATTGATCACTTTAATATCCACTTTAAAGCTAGGGATAAAAAGAAACATATTTTGTGTTAACATAATTTAGTTCTAACTTTAAAACATATCCAACATTAATAAAACTTAACTCAAGTTGCCTTTCACTTTCTGGGTAATTGTACAAATATTTTATTTATTTATTTTTTTAATTGAATTCAATTAATACTTTTACTTTGCACATAAAAGTACACAACATTCTACAATAATCAAGCAATTGCTGAATTAAACTAGAAAGGCTAAAAAATACAACTTACAGTTGCATAATTATGTGCATAGATTCCCAGTATTGTTTAAGCATTTTATGGTTTATAAGACAATTTAAGTAGCTTTGCAGATAAGTTGATATGTTTACATTTGAACATATTCTTGTGAAAACGCATATATTACAAATTCATGTCTACTGTAAACTGTTTATTTTTAAATATAATAATTTGTTTTTTTTTTGTTTTGTTTTTTTTTCTTAAAATGCATTTAGGTGAAACTTTTAAGCATTTTCTTGGTCATTGTTATATGTTAATGCAAATATAATATAGTATTACTACTGTATATGTAACTACAGCTCAAACAAACATCGCAAACATCGATGAAAGTTAAAATGAGTGACAGGAAGAGTGACTTCACATATTTGCACCGGTGGTTTGATCTATTTCCATTTACTTTTATTTTTTATTTTATTTTATTTATTTTAAGATTTTGTTTCAGAGTTTTTAACTTAAAGTATACAAATTTTCCCTTTAACTTTTAATTTGTTTAAACTTACCAAACATTTGCAAGCTCCCACGAACTTTACATTTCTATAGTTTTTACATGAAAATGAAGCATTTTTGACTTGGTTTACCCATAATATTGCTCCCTGATATAGCTCTTACAATTTTCTCTTGATTACCACCTTAAGGACAGAATACCCAAATGGCTAATACCTTTCGTTATATCTGAGCAAAAAACGTATGTTCAAATCTAAATTTCTCTTTTTAATCTGTTAGACCTTTAACATAATGCACAAAAACATGTTTATGACAACCAAAAGGTCTTGCCTCTGTTATTTATGACTTACAGGTTTTGGACAGAAACAGTTTTTCCGAGGCTCATTTTCTAACATGATTTATGTTTGTCTGTCTCATGAGGAGTAATATGTACTCCCCCTTTGCCCTCAGGACTCCAGAAAAGGCGCCAATCACCATGGTAACTTGTGTCTGCAGATTCTGAGTCACTGGATCACATTCCTATTTGGCAAGTTCTTCTATGTTATTGTATTCTGTATTGGCTGTCCCTATAAATGATCTATAACTTAACCAATATTTTCAGCAATAGAACTTTAAACTTAAATAATGCTAAATACAGAATTAAGCACTAAAATTGCATAATGCAAAGAGAGCAAGGGAACGAGATTTTCCAATGGAGTTTAAAAAGAAAACTGAAAAAAATACTTTAATAGCTTTGAAAAAATACAAAGCTAAGTCACAAATTACTTTAGGTTTTTGAAGAAGAATGCTGATGTACATTAGAATTTCAAGATGAAGCATATCACTTTCCAAACGATAAAGAAAATGAAAACAATACTTTCTGTTTTATTGTTTTTCCACATTCTGACTACCCCATAAAAGTAATTCAGTATAAATCTATTTAAATATCAAATGATAATGCACCATCACCCAAGTGACCTCTGGTTTTCCCTCCAGCTGTAGTTTCAGTGAAGTTGCTTCAAGTAAACAGATGGAGGTTTTTCCAGTCACTTTAAGGTTTGCATTAGAAGACAGGATACATTAAGTGTTCTTTGAATGTATGGGAACAATCCCTCAGGGGGAGAGAGATGCCTACAATACCAGTAATAACTCAAGATAACATTGCTAGAAATGGTCATAAGGGCAGAAAATGCCAACTGTTCATATGTTTATCAGATTGATGACCAATGTTGCTAGATGTAGTGTTTAAGTGTGTGTTTACTTGAACATTTTCAAATTTATTCACACATTTTCATTTAAAAACATGCATGCTGATATACCAAACACAAAATAGCAAACCTGTCTTGTTGCTAAAAGTAAAAAAGAACAAAAAACACTGTGAATCAGGAAACATTTCTGCAATAACATGTTGTAAGCTGCAAAATAAGATGTGCATTGTAGTAATATTAAAGCCATTTTTGCATAATCACTTAGCTTGATCCCTAAATTATTCATTTTTTTAAAAAAGACTTAACCTAACCTTTGTCTTACATTTATATCACTGACATTAAAATAAATATTTGATCTTTACCATAATACCGATATGAAAATTTAATGTGGTATTATTTCTTTTAATTTGCTTTCAGCATTGTTGCAAAGCCTCTGGCTCAAACAGATGACAGAATCTCTTCATCTTTACTCGCACGAGCAATTTACTAAAACTATATTAGCTTTAGTATATAATTTCTGTCCTTGTACTGTAGAAGATATTGGTATTTCTCATATGAGTTGCCCTAAGACACAAAGAGTTTCGTAAAAGCAGAACCACAGTCTCAATATGCCTTTAAAGGGATAACTGATGTTTTCTTTTGGTGATAACTCTGCAAAATTGTTCATAGACTTTAGATAAAAGGTAGATCAAGACAATTTTTCCAGTGCAATGATGCTTTGTTACTGGGATCCCATGTGGCCCAGTTGGTAAAAACCAGAAATGATCCTGTGTGGCCATTTTAATTGGGCTCCTTGGAGGTTATCCTTTTTTTTGTTCACCAGTTTTATCTACCAATTTATAGTATTCTTGTACTGATAGGAAGGTCATGTTATGAGATCTTTTTTTAAAACATCAAGCACAAATACTTAAGGCTTTTTTTTTGTATTAGTCAGTTTGCATTTTACTCCTAGATTTTAGCAGTGTACCAGTATGCACAAATAATGGCTTGATACAAGTTTGAAATAACAAAAATGAATGAATAATACACAAGTGACATTTTTGTATGATACTGAATTTGAGTCATTATGTTCAACACCGGAGGATCCTTCAAAGCAAGTGAATTATGACCCTTTTGGCATCCTGCCTTTTGCTCTTTACTTCCTTCTTCAAGGGTCACGCAAATATTTTTCACACTTTTAATTTGAAACAAAGAGACCACTCTTCAAGCTCTTGTGCTGGATTTGAGCTATGGCACTTGCCTTGTTTTGGTGGAATTCTTTAGAATGCATTTGTCTCTACTCATTTTTTTTTTCTATTATTTTATCAAAAATTGAAAAGCAAAGAAAAACTGTGCAACCTCTTTAAGATAATAGTGACACTTGTAGGTGACTGAATCTTTGTCTGGTGAGACAAACCCATCTTTTATGACTGAACCGTGACAGTTTGGTACAAATATACATCCCTACTGAATGTGCACATCATAACGCCATCACAACTTTCAGTAGCATACTTTCAATACGGAAGATAACTTCTTGCTTTTTTAAATGAAATGTGAAGTTTAGACCACAAACATTTGGCACAAGATGGCTTAGTAGCTGTTCAGTGGCTCGTGCAACAAAACAACCATGAGGACAACGAGACATGTTACCACCCATAATGCTCAATGGTAAGTAGGTTAGCTAGGGGGGTCATATAATGCTTGTCTGAATGGAACATGGCAGCAGGGGTGCAGAGCTCAGCAGAGATGGAGAACTGAGCTAAAGTCACAAGAGACATTTTCTGCCCTCCTCCTCAGCCCTCCATCCCCCAGAGGCCTTGAGTTGTCATAGAGCCCCACTGTGCTGTCTGGGAGACCTGTTTCCACACACAGGGGAGGTGGCACTTGCAGCAGCAAGCTTGTGTAGGTGGGAGTACTTGAAATGCCATTATCCATTACTATCTAGACATAGTGCATTTATACCAGCAACTAAATATAAAAGTAGGTTAAAAAAAAAAAAAACCCACACACAAGGTGTTAACATCTTGTAATGGAGTAATTAATATACACTGCACCCTCCTCAGTATTACGGATTTTTATCAGAAAATAAACCATTTTAATTGTTGCTTACCTTCTTCCATTGTGCGGGCTGTCATGGATTCACTGTCTGCGCCCTGAAACTCATTAAAGTATGGCCGCACTTTAATCTCGTAGACAATGCCTTTCTTCAGGCCAGAGAGAGTCACGTCCCTCTCGGAGGCAATCCTCACGTCCTGCATCTGCCACGGCCCTGGGGAGGGCAGTCCTGAAGTCTGCCGATACAGAACACGGTAGCCTTGAATAAACTGAGATGGGTTCTCCACCTGTGAGGAGAGAAGATAGGAAATTAATGATGAGGGAGGTGTTGAACATCTGTGAGCAAAGTGTTTCACATCAGTATTCAGAATGTGTCCCACTCTTAGTGAAAATGCATGCTTAGTTAGTCACACAGATCACTTAGCAGGAGATAAAACGTAAAAAGGTGATGCGTAATTGTTCTTTTTTTAATTTTTTAATTTTTTATTTTTTCTCTTGAGCTCAGTTTAAGTGTAGAAACATTGTGAAGTGTTTCAATGAACTTATCATCATCGCTCAATTTTTATTTATTTTTTTTTAAAGAAAGAGAAGAAAGAAGAGTAAATAAATAATAAAAGAGAAATAGATCAAACGAGAGACCACCATGACAAAACAACATGCACAGCACAATGCCACCCACAATATCACCATGAAACATTCAACATCACACAAGGAATCATCTAGCTTCTACCACTACCCAACCTAGCGTGCATCTGTCAAAGCACCTGAATTCAAACACCCGCGCAAGCACGCCCGCCACCACCAGATTTCTCCAAAAGAATGCCCAATAGTGGACGCAGGGGCCCACAGACCCGCCCCCCCAGGACACAATGGCAACATAGGGAGGACCGGAGCCACAGACACACAGCGGCCCACAGGCCCGGAGCCCCAGGAGTCTCCCAACAGGGAGAACCGCACCCCCACAGAGAGGAGCAGAGGGAAGAACCAGGTGACCCCAGCCACCACAATGCAGAGCCTCCAGGAAGCTGCAGCGACGAGCCCACAGGTCCGCCGGCGACCCATGCCCCCCCC